CGGGAGTGAAATGAATGAACATGACCATCAAATATGAACATTTATGGTACGGGCTAACTTTCGCTACCAGAATTGGAATCATTTGAATTTTTCATTAATAGATGCAGAATTTCAAGGGCTTACAGAAAATATAAAAATTATTTTGGGACAGCGAGTCAAAGTATAATAATATGCAAAGTATTAAAAAATTGCTGCAAAATCGAATTGCATTTTTTGCTCGTATATTGAAACTACGAATTAATAAAGTACCTTATAAAAATGATTCAGTTTACCAGTTTTGTAGAGAAAACATTTCTGCATCTTTCGAGACGTGTCCGGACTCAGACGGACGAGTGATTGCAGAGAAAAATCCAAAATACCGAGAACATCCTGAAAATTCAGTTTTTTGACCAAGGTCAAACGACGTGTCACATTGTATAATTCAAAACTTTTTACAGGAGAGGTATAAAGAGTTCATATTTTGGATTTATAAGTTCCTAACCATGGCCTATCGTTTCAGAATATGAAATCAAAAATCTAAATTTTGAGTGGTACCGGCTTGGTAGATCCTCTCGCGGACCCTCTCTTAAAAATTGAACAAGAAAAACGAACGATGACGTGGAGATATGAATGAAGAGAATTATCACACTCATCCACGACCGCACTCTTATCCACACTTGAACTCACACTTAACTTTGTGCAACACATTTTCATAATTGAATTTGGTTGCACATGACTTTGACACAGTTCAATAGTAAAAAAAACAAGGAGTACACAGAAAACTAGGACAAGGTGTTAAATTTTCTCTGACAACAGATGTTTTTCTTTGCCTAAAGTAATTCGTCAAGACATTAGACAGAGTAGCTAAAAGAAACATTTTAGACATAACAAGTTTTTCGTCGTGCAAAAACAGCTCTCATCCATGGCTAAATTGTCGATTCAAATCAGAAAAAGAAGCTGTACAGTCGAGTCGTCCAATACGTCAGTACAATTTTACCCTAGCTATCAAGTACGTTGCATAATAGAACTTTATTTCCTCTATTACACTAAATAATAAAAATATCCAAGCAATATATATCTGGGAAGAAAACAACCATGCAGAACAGATAATACACATATGACAAGAAAGAAAAGAAAATAAGAAAAATTTCAGGTACCTGGGAACCCTAAAGGTGAAAGATCGATTCATTGTATTTCAAACTTGTGAGAGGCGTAAAAGCATCACGAATAGCCTCTAATTACTACCTATATAGAATTTTGCCAGAAAACCTCAGAATCCAAAATAGACAAGCCGCTATATTTCCTTTCTATCAGTTTACTATTTGACAAATGAATTTATCTGCACAAGATTGAAATTTTTTATTTGCTGTATTTAGGAAAAAAAACTCGCTAATATATCAAAGCATGGCTATTCATAAACTATAGAAAGATATCACACACAGTGATTATTAGTCCATGACGTTGGGATACCAATGAAATTGTAACTGGTCCACATACAGTCCTGATCTTCCGGTGACATATCCTATGGTGTATCCATCGAATTGTTCTTCAAATATTTGGCCTTCGATGTGATCAATTGATTGGCTCGTTCGTCCCTTAGTTGTAAAGAATCTGATACCTCCTACCAATAAGACTGATCGTAGAACATCATTCACATAAAGCTTTTCACTATTAAGTATCACTTGAACTTTGTTGATTTTTTCGTTTTCTGCCAGAAGAAAAGATTTGGCAATATCGGTTGCTCGACGAGTTCCTCGCAGTTTTGATTCAAGAATTTTTCTGGGATTATCAGGAGAAGAATACAGAAATTGGCACCATTCTAAAGGTATTTTATCACGTCGACTAATCATCCCGCGCAGATAATGCGAATGTGTAAAACTTTCCATTGATGAATCATCAAAAAAGCCACCACCTGAGCCACCAAACTTGGTGCCGGATTGAACCAACGAAGTTCCTAAAATATGTGAAGTATTCAATGAGAAATATCAAGGCACAGAAAAAACGATATTGAGTCTATCTATTTTACTTTTTCTCCAGGTCTTTCGATTAACCGTTGGATGTGAATGTGGTGTGCATCGAGGTGGACCTTCGTTTCATAAACCACCGCACTCGCCAACATTCACATCCTCTCGTACGTGACACTGTTGAAGTACTGAAGTCTTATGTGTTTGAAAGATCTAATCATGTTGGATGATATCTTTGCTTTCATATACAAGCAAATGTAAACTATGGGGTCAGTTAATAATGTTTTTTCTTCTCATATCCCCGAGCTTGATTCTTTATATGTTGCTGAAACAAAGTAAGAATAGGAGTGACTTACTTTCTATTTTGATACATTCTTCGATCATTTCGATTATATGAGAACTATTGGGTCGATCATTAGGCTGTTGTACCCAGCATTGCTGGATAAGTGAGCGAAAACTCGATGGTATGGTGTTTGGTATCTTCAAACGATCACCAGCGAGCACAAACGCACGTATTACACCATCTTGCAGATCGTCGTAAGGTATTTCGCCGGTGCCTAGTTCCCAATAAACGATTCCCAAACTATAAATGTCACTCTTATCTGTATAGCGTTCGGCGCACAGTATCTCAGGAGCAGTCCATTGCAATGTGCAGATCACTAAAGAATTTGCTTTTGTTTGACGTGTCGTTTCATTTCGTGTTCGAGCCAAACCAAAATCACATACCTTGACAATATATCCTTTATGGGCTCTTTCTATCAAGAAGTTCAGCGATTTTATGTCGCGATGTAAGATAGGTTCTGGCAATTGATGCAGGTAATTGATGCCACTGGTTGTTTGAAATGCAATCGCTAACCGTTCAGACCAAGTTAATACAATATTATCTTCGTGCAATAGCTTATACAATGATCCTAATGACATGTATTCCATAACCATTGCATACTTTCCTGCTTCCGTGCACGCACCATAAAAACTGATGATGTTAGGGCAACGAATGTTGTTCAATAATGAAAGTTCTTTGAAAAATTCTTTCTCCATTTTACCAGTCAAATGGGTCAGATGCAATTTTTTAACAGCAACTATATAACGTGTAGTTTTCCAAGTAGCTCTATGCACTATACCAAAGGCTCCGGCACCAATCTCTTCATGCATTTGAAGATTTTTGTCGGCTATTTGAATAAATTCATGTGATGCATCTAAATGACAAGGAAATGTACGAGGAACTGGCAATGTCAATATCTAAGCTCATAATGAATGAAAACTTTCTATTTATGACATAATGCTGTTTGAAAAACTAACAGTTCCGTCAAGATTCACAATTTTGTATATTCTTTTTCAAAAGTCATAGTGAATTTGAAGCTCTAATGTTTTCATGAATTTTTCATTTTTCAAAAAAGCTTTTGTAACAATGAATCATTCTCCAGACAATGTGTTCAACTTTGAACTTGGATCAAAACATACCAACAGTCTAGAATAATCGCAGGGTAGTCGAAAAGTGCCGATACTTTTATTTTTATTGCATTGTAGTGAGGAAATCCATCAGTATCCACTCAACCAATTCTTTTAAACGCTCTCGACAATTCTATCATTAGTGCATCCGCGAAGCGTGTCCTATTAAATACACAGCAGAAAAGAATTTACGATCACTCAAGGCTGCGAATACAGATTGAAATTTCTTTTAAAAAAGGAATCAAAACTATCAGGGTTTTTTAGAAAACTCACTTGACATACAAGCAAGGTCCTTTGAAAATATCGTTGCTGTTACGTAGCTTGATTTTAGAGTCTACCGAACAAAACTAAGTTTTTTTTCCAAAATCCCAAAATTGATGACGAAGGTAAATGCTTCATGTAAAAATTGAGAGGCCTTTGAATATCATTTCAGAAAATATTGCTTTTCTCATTAACTTGTTGCTAAGTAGTAATTGATCGCCGTTCATGAAACCTACAAATACTTGTAATTGTCTTACCTTTCTTAGGGCTATTTGGTTCTACAATTTGCTCTTTGATTTCAAGTGACTTCTTGTGCCACTGCACACTTTTGTCGTAGTCGCCTTGCAGCGAAGCAATTAGACCGAGATCGCCATATAAAGTACGAAGTGAAGAGTCAGTCGGCGAATGTTCTTGTAGCAAACGAAGGTAGTACTGTTCAGCAAGATAAAGTTTACCCATCGTTCGTAACAATCTACCCAGTGTCCATAAACTTGTCTGTTCGGTGCCATTTTGTCTCTTCATGTATTCGAGAACGTCTCTTAAATTGTGTTCATCATCACCACATAAGGACATATTTACTATCCATACTTGATCGTCATCTTGAGTTACAGACTTGAGACAGAAAATGGAACCAAGCATAAAGAGTACTTCAGATTCGTCATAATACTGGCTAACAGTGCTGATGTCAGCAAATGGTTTCGTCGAAGCCACTTTGGGATCAGCATCAATCTTGAATAGAACTCGTTCTAAATCGATTTGGTGAGTTCTATCACCGAGATAGGCATCAGCTACTTCACGCTTCGTAGTGGTCGAAAGAAATGCATTTACAGAAACAAACTGCCCAATGTTCTGTTTGAGATAGTTTAGCTCATCAATTGACATTAATTGACTTCGATAAACTTGAATAGAATGCTGAGATTGATAATGTTGCAACTGGTGATAAATATCGACAATACTAGAGCGATACAAGAAAATAATATGAATATCTTGCTTGCGTAGAGCAGCATTTAAAGTTCTGTAGAAGAATATGTCACGAGTGTACCACCACAAAGCCTTGTCGGGTGTATAATCATTTTCAAACTCACGCAGGTTCTTGAGTTCGACATGGTTGCCTTCATATTCGTTCTTACAAAAAGAAATGAGTTCTTTTCTGTCCTTCTCATTCGGTTTTAATCGAAGAAGACAATCAATAAGTGATTGAGAAAAAACAAATTGACCATTGATTCCTGTCGTAGACTTTTCTGCACCGTCACTGTTAGTAAACATGTTCATCGACAAGGGTTCTTCAATCTTTTTTTGATTCTGATGATTTGTTTTAATACAAGAAAACAGTTCTTCTAGTTCAGTGACAACCGCCTTCACCTAAATCAGTGGTACAACAAGACTGAAAAATGTCAGAATAACCGCTACCTTGACGAATTCATGCGCCCATTGTCCATCGTTTTCCTTATCTGTAGAACTAATATAGATTGCTGATACTTGTCGAAGTTTATGAATCGAAGGTACTACTTGTCGAGCCCATTGGCTGCTAATAATGAGCACTAATCGATCGTGTGTTGATGTTTGCTCTATGTATTGTTTACACTCTTCTTCATCTTGAAACTTCTTGATATGATTGATGATTGAACGCAACTTTTGTTCCGTATCTTGATTTCCTTCGAGATGAACGTTTGTGTCAAGCCATATAATACTGAATATTTCCAGATGATCATCATTGCTACTGGTAAGAGAATCAACAGAAGATAGGCTAGTTGTTGTCATCTAAATGGAAATAACGAAATTGAAGTTCTCCAAAGATCGTTCTCTTTGATATAAGATCGAACTTACTTTATTTTAGAAATTCACGAAAGAAGAGGAATGCCTTATGTAGGAACGTTACCACTAGACACGGATCATCTTCTCAGGAAGATATTCCTTTCAATGCATTGAGGCTCGACTTCTTTTTATAGAAACAAAAATACAGTTTCCCTTACAAAATCCAGTATAGTTTAAAGCTAATAAGCATAACTTTTTTGTTCAGATGTTATGCAAAGTATGGACGTTTTATTTTGAAACAAGAAAGACAAGACACACATCCGATAAGTTCAATACCTGTACATAAAGCGTGAATCAATCTTCTTTTTAGGTCTTTGATTATTGTGTGCACATACAATACAAACTTTCTGAAGAGTTTTCTTATGTATTTTTTTTATAGGTAAAAGAGATAGAAAGTGAGTAGCAGTATAGTTGATTGGTTGTTTAGTTAGTTTGGGAGGGTCGATCGCTGATGACGGACTACACTAAGCTATATGTAGTAGTTGTTTTAGGATAAATTGTATTAAATTTTAGTGCATTGTTCTCATTTTGTAACTATGGAAAAAAGCCCCTTACATACCATATAAGTCTTTCTTGTCGGTGTCTAATTACAAATATTGAAATCAACGCGATCAGTTCAGTTGGATGCTAGAAAAACATAAAAAACGTAAGAAAATTTTAAAGAAAGGTTCAGCCGGCTTTTGAGCTATAACATTAAATTCTTCGCACAATTTAGTACTGCCGATTGCTGTTCTAGAATTCTAGTGAAATTGTTTATGAAAAACATAAGAAAACAATGAAAAAGTTGTTTGTTTTTATACACTTGACCCTTAGTCCTTTTTTTTAAATACGAAATAGCCTAAGCTTCTTTACTGTTCAATTGAACAGTTACATCGTTTTGTTTTCTAAAGTACATCGCGGGTGTGACTATAGGTATGCATATCAGTGTGGTTGGATGTTGCGATGTACAAGTAGAGTTGTCTTTTGCTCGTCCAAATTCACACATATATTTCTTTACTTTTCCTTATTCATCATGGCTTACGTGTAAATAAATATGCACTTACTTACATTCTATCTGAAACTGAAGTCGGATTTATTATTTCGCATGTCAGGATTGCGAAAACGCTGTTTTAACCTTTTAAATATAACAAAAAAGAGGGCATGGATTTAAGTGATCAGTAAAATAGATGGTATGATCAGTAAGAAAAGATATTGTAAAATCGGTTGATTGAATGAATGATCAGTTATATATTGAAGTACCAGTAAACTATTTAAATGATCAGTTATTAAATGAAAAGGCTATGTAATAAAATTTTAATATAAGTAAATAAAATAGAATAACAGTGAGTTAAATGAAAGAATAAGTAAAGAAGTCAAAAAGTTCTATCAAGAGCTCCAGTAATAGCTTCAAATATAACTAATAATTGGTCAATTGAACGTGACCTATCTTCAATAAATGCAAAACTTTTTACTAAAGAACCAACAATATGTTTAAATTTGTGGACTTCATCTTATCAATGGGCCAAATCAACAAAAGATGTTATTTGTCTTCAAAATGATGTTTCCAAACAATATTCCCTTTTCTGAAAGAAAGGGTTATACGACCGTAAATATCTTTTAAGTTTGCCTGTCTGTCTGTCCCAACAAATCAGAAAATAGCAACGGCTCGATCGATAAGGCTAGTGTTTAATTTTCCCTAAAAAACTGCACCAAAGGTTTTTGGGGTCGGAGAATCTAATAGTATCATTAGTTTTTGATGATTTTGCAGAAAAGTTTTTCTTTTTACCAAGAAAGGATTTTTTTCAAAAAATAATAGTTTTTATATAAAGTTTGACCAAAGGTTTTGGGGGTCAGGGAATCGAATGGCATTAATTTAGAAGTGACTTTGTCAGAATAAAATTATTTTTAATTCACAGTGAAGTACCATTCTTTCAGAAAAGGGTCAGCGAATCCGTAGAATGAGTGCTACATGTTACATACTAGCTCGTAATTTAGAATCTATTTCACAAGCTGATTTAAATAAATATGTCAACAAAAAATGGACAACCTTCAACAAGTTCAAAAAGTCTTTTGATATTTGGTGCTTGGAAATTAAGAATGATTCAGATTGGAAAACATCAAGATGCACCTGTCCAACTTTTCTTAAAAATTATATATGCAAGCATATCGTCGGGATGGAGATTCGTTTAAAACTTTGTAAACCATCACCGGCAGCAAAGACCGTGCTGATTGGTGAGAAAAGAAAGAGAGATCAATCAGCAAAAGCAAAACGCGCTTTGCTAATGCAATAATTTATTTCGGATTTGTCTCATTTCAATTTTTTTTCTCATTCTATACTATATGTTCCGGATAATTTTCCTCTTTTCTACTGGTAAAACTTGTCTTATTTACTTATCAAATTTTCATTTTTTACTTATCAAATTTCTTCTTTTTACTGGTACAAATGATATTTTTTTACTGTTATTCTATATAATATACTGATCATTTTCTTATTATTTACTGGTAATCTAAGTACTGATCATTCAATCTTTAAACTGATCATTCAATCTTTATACTGATCATTTATATACTATTTTACTGATCATTTCATCTGTTTTACAAATCAAATATTTTGTTGCCAAAAAAGAGTGGCAGTCTTGCTCTAGTTT